TCTTTTTTTTTATCAATATTGATAAATATCTTTATAAATAAATAACAAATTATTTGTGGACAACCATCGAGCTCTTAAGCGACGGAAAATCTCATTTTAGTCAAAGAACATAAAAGACCAGAAAATGAGTGGCCTAATAGACTTTGTTTGGCCTCTCCATAAGACTAAATATCAAAAAATAATTATTAATTATAATTAGTAGTTTATGATAGGTGTAGATCAATTAACCAGATGTGAGTTTTATTTTTTAATAAACACATTATTATTTAAGACATTTTAGGGAAAGTTTGTTTCGAAAGATATACTCATTTACAGGCGTTGAAGACCACCCACTTGAGTTAGGTACCGCGTCATTTTCATCAGCCTTTATAGCACATCCTTCGCATGATGATGTTGAAGAGCCGGCTTGTAGATGTATACAAGTTCTATCTCACTCGCTATAAGCCAGGTGGTATTCGATCTTTTCTCGCGTCACGGGAAGTCTTAATGAAGACGAATCTTATTCGAGATGGCCGACACCAAATTCACTTCCTGGCTGCTCTCACACCTCAGTAATTCAATTGAACATCCCGATAACAACACGCCTTTATCTTTGTCGGCCAGTGAAAAATTTTTATTGTGGGTTTCTTCATATAATAAAATTTAATTTACACACGTATAAATATTTGTTAGATGTTTCAATTTATTTAAATTCTCAGAGAAAGGTAGAACATGAAAATTATCTACAGATTAAGTATATGAATTTATTTCAATAACACATGAGTTATTATTTACAGTTATGTTGAAAATGATGAATAAATATTCTTCACTCAACAAAGTTACATTCATAAAATATGAAAAGTACTTTTAGAATATAAATTTTATGATGATAAAAAATTTTTTTATGCTTTTTTAATAGTTAAAAATATGACTAAATAAATAATAATCAATTAATTTTCAACTTTAAATCTTTTCTTTTCATTTTTTAAATTTTAAATAAAAATTATTTTATCAAACATAAATTTTAAAAATAACACAAAAAAAATTTTTTTGATAAAGTTTAACATGAATTTAATATTATTCAAATTAACTTTCAATTTATTGAACTTAAAAATAGTTTAGAAAATTTTTTTTCTATAAAGAATAAGAAAAAATGAAAATGCAGTTACTATGGAAATTTGTAATGAATTTCCTAGAGTTTTCAACACACAGAAACCTCTAACCATTTTCAGTATACACTTAACATCCCCAAAAATGTGTGAGAAATGACGCTAATACACTGTACTTAATGCTCAATAATATGCTGCCACCATGTACTTAGATTCGTACACTAAGAAAAAATATTTAACCCATACTAGTCAAGATTGGTTATCCGCGAAGTGGATATTTACGTTGGTTAGCACGTAATAATTTACTAGGTGCAACGTTCACATCATGTATAATGTTGGACGAAAAAATATCGACCTATTGCTGATAGGTATATTCAAGTAAGCGAAAACCTTATAAATGAGTTGATGCAGACAAAACTCTGAGCTATAGATAGCAAATATGGTAGTGTTTTATTGATTCTTATAGCAACAATAACATCATCGATAATGGAGAAGTATAAATAGGGGTTTGGTTAAATATCGAAAAAGAAGTAAATAACATCTACTTCAAATGATGTTGAAGTTAATGATGATGAAAAATGAATAAAATTATTTCGAGAAAAAATCTATAAAGATGTACAATCGTCGTCTGGCACAAATCATAACGATAAATCTCTGCCATGGTATGCCCTAAAGGCTAAACGACTAAATAAGTGTTCCAATTTCAAAATTACCCGCTAAACGATTTGTAGCCCGGCAGAAAATATATCGTTGACATGTGGGCAAAGCTTCATTCGTTGATTTTGTAAAAGGGGGACGTATGTCGTTTGCCTCTTGAGAACATCAAGAACCTTATACCTATCACTTCTCTTATTCTACCCTTCGTATCGTAGTGTCATATAAAGCAGACGAGACAAATGAATATCTTGATTTTCTCTGAGTGACAGAAGACTGACACAGCTTGACCAACTACTTCTCTTACATCTATATCTAATTTATTTCTGTTAAAGCATATGCTTATATACATTCGCATCATCAATTTTCTAATTCTCTTCACAGGATAAATACAGTATGCTACTGTCCTTGTATATTTCCAAAGCTTTCGTGATTTTGATACGCAGTGATTTAATTCTAATGTTTTCCATAGTGATTAGATTACATGCTTGTGATGGATATGCTGCCTGCATAAATGAATACATACGTTATGCATTGCTAATCCATCAATTATTAGAAATTATACTCGATTATAACGAGAATCCGTTAGTTAAATGCAGTCATTGAACATCATGACATTCATGTATGACATCGTTTTTGAAAATGACTCAATAATGTCTAACTTGTAGACTAGATTGATGTCAATGTATGCTACTTTACTTGGAACTACTTAGCATTAGATTTTTTTTTTTTTTAAGATTATTGGTCTGGAACAAAGTGTTTGATTCTAAATGCTGGAAAAAAGGTCCAGATATTCCCAACAAATTTCTTTAATCAAGTATGACTGTTCCATTACACTTGGTAGTTTGAATGAAAGTTTCTTTTTTGAGATTAAACTGTTATTTTAAAAATTTACTGTTGAACATTACTAAAGGATTTTAGTTGTGAAAATGAGTAGCATCTCAATGTGCTAAGTAGGGTGGAGATTTGGTTGTAGTTGATGCGTTACAAAAATACTCAAAACAAAGTAGTTCTTAGGAAAGATTTAGAAATGCTAGGTTGAAAGAGGGATTATATAGTTTTGCGTAGTTTTACACAGTTTGAGTTGGTGTGTTGTTAGGTTTGCTGAAGTTTCTTGAATGTTTTCTTTCTCCTTTAGGGTAGTATTCTTGGCAACATGATCATTCAACAAAATATAATTATTCTAATATTTAATAAGTTAAATTAAAATTGAATATACAATGAATAAATGTTTAAACAATACTATGAAGTATTTTAAAATAGTTTTGACCTAGCTACCGCTGAAAAATATTTCCTTGAATAGCAGAGAAGTTCCCAAGTTAATTTTCAAACTCAAAAGTCCTGATGCAGAGCGGCAAATTCGTGAACATCAAACGAATTAAATCTCTGCAGAGAGTCGACCGCAGAAACTAATATCTCAGCGCCTCTCTATCTATCTTCGTCGATCTTATACTCACTATTTACCCTACACTGCACTACTACATTGTTTAAAAGGCAGAGAAAGAGATACTCTTAGCTACTCTTTTGTCTACCTGCTGATAGTTGCAGAGGCAAAATGTCCATTTCGTTTTACCACGTTGGTCCAATATTACCCTTCCTGTTTAATAATAAAATAAAGCAGCGGCAAGTTGGCTTTAGATGCAAGCAAAAATGGAAAAGATGAGCCAGCATAGGTCAAATAAGGTATGTTAAAAAAATAGCTGCTTTGTCATATTAAAAGAAAATAATAAAAAAACCAAGCGTGATCCGACACGGTTGGTCTTCAATCATGCAACTGGGCTGGTGACGTTTTTGTCCCAAATCGTTAGCCTTATTACCGAAGCTCGTTCTAAATGGATCAACGGAACCGAAATCTTTATCTGATTCGGCCATTATTGTGTGTAAGGTTGTGTAGTAGTCCCTAATAAGAAGGAGGAGGAATTATTCCCATAATAAAAGGAAAATAAAAAACCTGACTTCATCTAATAAGAGTACTCAATATTAATAATACATGAGAGAAATATATAGACAGAAAAAACACTTGAGGGGCCTCGTCATCGAGGCTCATAATCATGATGAAAGCCCAACTTTAGGACACCAGTTCAATGTTGAATTGAATTTTTGGAGGGGATTGTACGCGGGTTGCGCAGGTGTGACTGATGGCGGCGGCCTTTGATCCAACAAACGACGCGGCTACTTTGTCCAAGACACTCTTCGTTCCAACCTTTAGCCTTCTCTTCCCATCAGCTCAGGCCTCCCGTCTTTCCTTCAGGTTGCATACCGATTATTGCTTCGTGAGCAGTATAAAACATCTCTGCAAAATTTAAGTTTGCAAGTATTACATTGAAGATATTTTCTCAACAACCGTTTCAACTTCGATACATCCGCTAAACCGAATCCCATAGAACATTGTGAGGTATTAATGTCTAGCGCTTACATGAGAAACTGGAGAAGGATGCGAAGTGGCATCTTGGAATTTTGCGCGTCTGGAACGAAAGCGTGACTTTTATGAGGGAATTTATGCTACATCTTAAATACTATGTACAGTTTTAAATGATACAAGGAACTCTCTGAGTATACACCTAGTCCAAATGTATAAATATATACTCCATCTAAACTCATTGTAGTTACTTTTTAAACAATTTTAATACATGAGTTATAAGAACGCATAATTGTAATAAACTTCTGAAGCATAAAGTTATTTTTTGTATACTTTAAGGTATCATTACTCAAGGGAACTAGAGATATTAAATGTTGAATGAAGGAAATCGTTAATTTGCAATTTTGTGGAAAATGCATTTTATATAGTCTGGTGTATAAATTAGCAATGACATGTTTCTTTTAGGAGCAGGGGCACCTCTTGTACCTTTTAATTAAAATAAATGCATACATTTGAAGCATTTGTTCCATTATTTTTTTTTGGTTTATTACTGATACAAAGTTTTAAACTGTATGAATAAATGAAAATGATAGAGGAAGTTTCATTAATATGTTTGGAGTAGAAATTAAAACAGTTCTTATAGTAGTTTCTTATTAAAATTTTATAAAAGTAATTTATCATCACAAAGTAGTTATTATTACTTGACAAAATACTAATTGAAAAAAAAAAACTGCAATGCTTTGATGTTTACATTTATTGAATATGAAATAATTGATGAGTTTTTAGATATTAAATTTGATTTTTATTATACATTGAAATATATTTATTGTTAAAATTACAACAAAGCAATATTTCACCAACAATTAAACTAAATGACAACGTTTTCTTTCTGATTACAGAGCAAGCAAACCATCTGAATCTCTTTAACAACCGCCAGCAGCCCAAGAAGAAACGCAAGAGTCGAACAGCCTTTACGAACCAGCAAATATTCGAATTAGAGAAGCGTTTCTTGTATCAAAAATACCTGAGTCCAGCGGATCGAGATGAAATAGCAGCTCAATTAGGTCTCAGTAATGCCCAAGTGATAACGTGGTTCCAGAATAGGAGAGCAAAGCTCAAAAGAGATATGGAAGAGCTCAAGAAAGACGTCCAGACAGTGAATCCTCTTCTCGTGGCCCAACATCACAAAACTTTTTTGGAGAATGTACAAGACCTTGGAATATTAAAAAAGAGGCCACTGCCCAGTTCCATGGATGATAAGTCATAGATCTCACCTTCCTTAAGTCGAGATATCGAATGATTTTATTGTGTGGCAGTCATGCTTTTCTTATGAATCACATACCTTTTCTCGACAAATTTTTCAATGGGTGATAACAATTGATGTCATATCATTCGTATACTCATGTTGAATATAAATAAGATCTATGTCAAGTCAATCACTCTGTACTTATGCGACTATTTTTACTGTCTTGTATTATATTGTATTTATTACAGAAATTAAGATAATTCATGATTTCTAAAAAAAAAAAGATAAATTATTAGCCTAACTGTAAACTATAATAATGTAGAACATAAATTATATAATGTGTACTTGATAGCAGTTTATTGAGAAGAATTATTCTTAAAAGTATTGCCATCAAGAGTCTTGTAAATATTTTTGTAAATATATGTAATAATGAAAAAAAGCGAAGAATGAAAATTGTACTGAAAGATGTTTTTTGTTTCTTGTAATTAATGAATTAAATACAATAAATCTATTAATCGTCTCACGAGTTGATAGATTCAGTTGATGAAACTAGTATAGAACATATAGATGGGACACTGCAATATATCCTAATTATTAGGTTTAATTAGGGAAGCTTTATGAACATTTTTTTAAATAAAATATTTGGGAAGAAAATCTCTGGAGCATTATAGAATCGTGCAACGCTTTCGAGAAAAAATGCTGAAAACGTATAGACTATAGAAGAAGTGTATAGCGATTCAAAATAAATGGTGATATCATTAATAATTATTTGCATTGTTTATTATCATCCTTTTTCTCTAGTATTTAAGAGTCTTAAAAAAATTATCTTCAACTAGTTAAAATATTTACTTATCAGTTTTGCTAGACAATGAAATATTTTTATCAGTGAAGCTTCTGCAATTCTAAAGAATTTTATGTCTTAAGATAAATTGTTGAGGATAAAAATATAAAACTATTTATTTATTGTTAACCTTCTCTAAATAAAAATTGATAAGATTGTGTCTTTGCTTAAATGATTGAAAATTTACTAGAAGGTCAGTTATTTTTAACACAACTTTTCTTATTTTCAACTGAAAAAGGATTACTTAATGATTAGAAGCTCTTTATTTTTTAATTCAAAATTCTAGTAAATTCTTAATGAATAATCTATAAATATGCTTTCAAAAATAATTATCAAGCATCTTACAAATAAGAATAATGTTTCCTGCCAGAAAATTATAAATAAATATTCCACGAAGATTTGAATGAAAAGCATTGAACATAAACGAGAAGCTGCATTAATCATAGCTACATCCATTCGACATGTAGCCAACATCCTAGTTGAGTTCTGGATAGTGTCATAACGAAATGTAGACTAGCATGACATTCTCCAGATAAGTAATAATAGGTATTCGCGAAACAAGATTATCCAAGACGCAGTAAATAACTAAATAGATGCAAAAAGATAAAAGGCGGTGCATTTTGAAATTAGATACTATTAAATGAAGTGTTTGCGTGTTACTAAAAGATGTAAAAAGTTTTAAAAAAAATTCCTCTCTCCACAATAGAATTTTTGGGAATATTTTTGCCTGTGACAGACAGTAGTTCAAAACCATCTCTTGATATTGATGAGGCCGTATATGAAGCGGTAAGCAAGGTAGCCCATGCCGCCCTGTAATTCCAACACCGCTGCATCCAAATAAAGAATTCCTAATGGCGATGATGATCACCACCAATTTTCTCAATATACATCTGATACATCAATAACTCTTTTGATATTGTGCTACATTTCTGACAATGAACACATTGCTTGAATATTTCATTTTTTGGACCATGTTCTCTTTATTATATCCAACAGCTAAATTTTTAGCATTATTTGAATAGCATCATTTATAAAGGAAGATAATGTGATTGTTGAAAATTAGATTTAAATATTTGGCACACATGAAAGCTGTGTAGACACGCGGTTGGACAAATGGGGCGGGTTTTATCTTAAATCGGCGTTAGCACGAATGGGACAGCTGATGTACCCAAGTCGCTTGAGGCGATCAGCCGAGACCAATCAGCATCTGACCGTCAGTTCGTTCGCGTCCTAATGACACCTAGAGGCTAAAAAGCCATGATATTCGACAACCAGGTCGCTAACGAACCCTCCGCAGGCGATCATACCTCCTTATATATACGTAAAGAATTTCTTACCGTATGCTATAATACTGTAACATTTATCAAAAATGATGTTCTTAATCTTTCATCAGGTTTTGTTAGTTATCAACTTTCCCATTAGGAAGTTGTTGTAATGGGGTTGATTTTTAAAATTCATAATTTTGTTATTTCTTTACGTTTTGAGACATTTAAAAGTATATTAGAAGGTTTATAAATAAATGTACGTACGTAAATGTGATTAAATAATTGTATATAACAAATGTTTATAACAATAGCAATTTATTGTAAATAAAAACAGCCAATAGATGAAAAAATGATAGATTTTAAGAAAGGCAAAGTTCGTCGTCAGGGCTCAAAGTGTGCACAGGCTCGTCTTTTATTATTGATGTTATTAATTATTAAAAATAAATTTTTTATTCGTCGTCAGGGCACAAAGTATGCTTAGATAAATTTTTCTTTCTTCAACATCATCCAGTACCTGATGTACAAGAATTCAATTACATGCTCATTGTAAAGACAATGGAGAAAAGAGAAATTAGAAAAATAGATGAATGATTTGTGATGTTGGAATAATCAATTTCAATGAAATTGATCAATAGTAAGTATCATGAGCATAATGAATTTTAATTTGTATCATTTTCCTAGGACGTTCACACTATTTAGAGGTGCGTCTGGAGTAAAGACACGTGGGGAGAGTCGTCGTCGCGGCATTAATGAATCGAGGAAGGCGGGACCCGCTCATTTCGCATTTTCGAATTGGTATGCGTGCCACGTCTACCTGTCGTGTAGCGCGATCACATCAAATGACGTCACACTTTGGCTAGTACCGGAGTTGCGGCATGAGCAAGTGAGTGCACAAAATGAGTGAGAACATCAAGCGCGCGTGCTCTTTCTTTCTTGTTCAGAGTAGTGCCGCATAGGTTAATGGCGAAGAGGCCCCAGACCTGCCAGCCAGCGGCTCGGCTCCTGATTACAGACCTCGCCGAGATATCCCCTACACTCTCGCTCTCACCTCGACTATCGTGAGGTCTTCCTGGCCCGGCAACACTATAGATCAACCGCCGCCCGCTATTCTACTCGAGAATATAATATTCTTGTATACAAGTATATTCAAGTATTGTATAATTCGTAAACGCTGAGGTGGTCCATATTTTACTTTTCCCAGAAATTGTTTTGTAATTATCCAACTTTCAATTAGTTCTTTATTGTCATCGGGTGTTTAATTGAAAATCAGAATCACCAATTCTTCCGTCATTGCCCAATTGTGCTATATAATGCGGTTATATAATATTTATACTCAATGGCTTTTTTTTTTAACAACGTGAGTCATATTGTTCTTCAATAATTTTTTTTGTCAAAATTCCAACAAAAGAATATTTTCGACTTTTTTTATCATACTTGAATATTTAATGTAATTATTATTTTTTATAGTTAACACAACATCCAAAGATTATTTAAACATTCATTTACCTAAAATTAAAAGTCAAATTTTTATTCAATTTTAATATTAATTGATATTTAAGGTTTAGTATGACAATAAAATTGTCATTGTTTTCTACATAAATCATGATGGATGTAAAATAGACTTTCAAGACTTTTTAAAATTTTCTTTATTTATTCAAATAAAAAAAATTTAAAAAACTAATTTAAATCAAATTTTCTATAAACAGGAAATTAGAAATATTTTAGTGATTCTGATTTAAAATAGCTTGAAATGTTTTAATTTTATTCTTGAGGTTGAATTTATTTTTATTGATATATTTAAACAACAACAGAGTTTGTTAAAATATCTGCTATCAAAAATGTCAATATTTAATTCATTTTAAACAATATCAATGCATGCATCATTACTACCTGCATTGTGTCATTCAGGTCATGCTGTTTCGGTAGATTTTCACGATTATAACAATTCTAGGTGAACTTATTAATCCTATACCAAAGATTCACCCTTAAATGGCAACAAAAATCATCTCAAGATTGTTAAGATCATTATTTAAAGCTGAACAAACTTTGTTATTTCACTTAAATCAAATTTATTTACAACGATGTTTGGTTTTTCAAGGTTCATTCAAGCATTTTTACTGATATTGAGATATAAAGACAATAAAGAACTAGGAAATAATCATTTCTAAATCACTAACTGATTATTAGAAAATTAAAGTTGAAATTCCAGTTAATGAAAATCAATTTATTTTTATTTCATGTTAGATTAAGGTATCATTAAATAATTGTGTAACTAAAACATATCATGATACATCATTAACTAGAATAGTTTTCTATGTTAACTAGAGTTGTATTATAAATAAACTAACAGTGCAATAATAGATCAAGAGATATCTTTTCCTGTAATTGAAGTCATTTTCATCAGAGTAAATATCATATTCTATACTTTCCAATAGTTATTTTCTAAACAAAAAATTAAGTATCTAGAAGATAAATGGTCTGTTTTAAATGATTCATTCGCTTTCCTGATGTTGAACGTTTGTCTATTGCTCAAATTACTCTAAATTAAGAACCAACAATTATCAACTCACCATTCTGAAGAAGTAAAAACCATTTTTCAAAGAGTATTATTAATTTTGAAAGTGGAAAAATGTTCTAATGTCGCTTAATTTTCCACCTCCAACATGCTGATACCGAGGAGCATCAAAAAATTTATCATAAAACTAAAAAGTAAATATGAACAATTAATCATTGAATGGATAGAAAATAACACGATGCCACGGTTGCTCAATAATGAGGTTCGGAAAAGGCGGGTAAAAAGGTGATAATTCAAAAAAAGCAATTAGAAGCCAAGTTGAGTCTATCCTGGTAATTATTGATGTAGAGAAGTTGTGGGCAATGTAGTACTGGTCAGTAGCAGGCTAGAATGAATGTGTGATGTATCAATTAATAATTATATCACCTGTACCTGTGAAACAAGATGGTTGAATACCTGTAAGACTATTGAAAAAATAAACGATGATTGTTTTCTCATTTTTCACGAGAAAACCTCGTCGGTGGTCCGGCGTCAATTGCAGGCGTGGCAGGAGCACCCGATTGAACAGAGTCCACAATTTTTTACATCTATCGACTCGGTCAGTTTCTTTCTCCAATTTCTATGGCTATATATCCTTAAAATACCCATAATTGCTTGACCGCCATTAGACTAAATTGAATCTTCACCTTGCGCGATACATTGAACATAATACACACTTTCTTTCATCTCCTATACACTTTGTTGTTCTCGTAATTTTTACCATACTCAATCAGAGCACCTTTATCAATTGCAAATGAAACCTTGCATGTACGCACTTAGATGCATGTGTGATTTTTAGGTGTGGCGGCACAAGGCAAACGTAGATGGGATTGCTCACGCGGCTTGCATAGTAGTAGCGTGTATGTCGGCACACTGGTCAGATTAGAGACCT